TAATTTATTGAAGTTTTCTCGTTCAAAATCTTATTTTTAACTTACACAAGCTAGTTTTAGCTCATGAGAAAAACTTATTTGGATTTTTCTTTCCTAATTTTTTTTTCTCCTAAAAATGCTTCCACAAACATGCCCAAATGTACAATAATAAAATAAAAAGGAAAAATAAGATAAGTAGCCCAATAGACCAAAAGCAAAATACAAACATAAACACAAAATAACAATGAAGCATAAAAATTTCCTTTAAAAAAAAAAAAAACAAGCAACTGGAGAAAACCTTGCAACGCTCATCTCCAACAATGATGGCATATGTGCCTTCAAGGGCGGTTTTAAGCGCTTCGACGGGTTTATACCTAAAAAATTGCAAATTTGAAAGGTGTTTAGAAGAATGGCAATAACAATAGCAATTGATGTGAATAAAGAGAGAAGAAAAGGGGTTACTGTTTGAGTAAGGTTTCGATCTTGCGAGATTTGTGTTCAATTCTGGTAATAATGGCATTTGTGTTATCTGCTTCTTCTGCTCCCGCCATTGATCAATTCCTTTCTTTCCGTTTCCACCAAACAACAACAACTGAAGCTTCAGATCTCAGTCTCCGAACGGTGCAGTACGTTACCTCGTTAAGTGGGTCCCTTTTATTTTTATTTTATTCATTAAGTGGGTCCTATTAATTAATTAATAAATAATAATGCATGCTTATTAAAAAAAATTATAAATCGTAAATTTTATCTTTTTAATAAGAGAAGATATCTATTTACTCCCACAGTAAATTTATGTAGACTTATTTCGTTCAACAATTCATATCCTATATCAAATTTTAACAATTCAATAATTGAATTTAAAGTTCTTAATGTATATATTAAGTCTACCAATTTTTTAAAAATTTAAAAATTATTTAATATTTTATTTCATTAATTTAAATTGACGGATAATGATAAAATCATTTTATACATTGATTTGAATTAATGAAATGAAGTATTAAATAATTTTTAAAAATTTTAAAAATTTTCAAATTTGATATATGTATTAAGAATTTTAAATTCAATGGTTGAATGTTTAAAATTTAATGTAGAACATGAGTTATTCAACGGAATAAGTCTATATAAATTTACTCTTAAAATAAATAAATTTCTCATCTTTCAATAAGAGGAAAGCTATTTTATAATGGCCAAAATAGTTGCTAAGTTACTTAGAGTATTTTATAAACATACTTTTGGAGTTGTGTATCTATTCCAAATCATACAAGTATCAAACCCAATTTAATTATATCTTTAAAAAAGTACTATTAACTAACGGTTGGAAATAGGATTCGATTTTTTTGTGTAGAGAAAAATTTTGTTAGTTTTAAGATATAATTTTGATTTTTATCAGACATGAAACTTGTTGTATTAAATTTATTTATATAAAAAATAAATATCAATTGATGTTTGCTCCAACAAGCAATGTTATAAAAGCTCAACCAATCGTTGACTCGTAGTGGTTTGATAATTTTGTAGTCAAATTGGTTACTTATTGAATCATTTAAATTGATCTATATTAAAAAAAATTAAAATAATATAATTAATATAATGTAAGATATCACACATTAAAAAATAAAATTATTGTAATACTAAATAATACAATATCATTGTAAATATATTAAATATATTGTTTCCTTTTCGGTAGAAATCTGTTTGCACCACCTAAAATAGTGGGATTGTAATCAAATCCCGTGGTGAACTGCCGTATCATGATTATAGGAGAAATTATAGGAATCTGTAGGAATATGTTTAGCCTAATTATAGGGACCATGAGATGTACATATATGTAATCATATTGGCTGAATAAATCATCAGATTACCATCACAATTTCTTTATGGTATCAGAGCCTCTAGGCTCTGGTTGAGAAAAGATGAGAGAAACGAACAAAATGGTGGGAAACTATGATGAACGAATTCATGATGAAAAGGATCCTGAATGTGAACAACCTAAGATGGTGAAGAAGACACCATCTCCATATGATTTGAATTCTAGTGACAATCCAGGAAACGTGATTACCCAGGTGCAACTTCGGGGGTGAAAACTATAATGAATGGGAAAAAGATATGAAAACCTCATTACCTGCTCGATGAAAGTGGGGTTTTGTTGATGGTACAATACAACAGCCGAAAGAAGGGTCTTCTAAAATGGAGGATTGTTGGACCGTGCAATCTATGTTGGTGTCATGGATTCTGAATACTATTGAACCAACTTTGCATTCTACTATCTCTTATATGGAGAATGCAAAGGAGCTATGGAACGATATTGCAGCACAATTTTCAGTTGTGAATGGTCCTAGAATTCAGCAACTGAAATTAGAATTGGCTAAGTGCAAACAAAACAGAACGCCCATGGTGAATTATTATGGAAAGCTTAAAACCTTGTGGGATGAGTTAGCCAATTACCAATAGATACTGACATGTATATGCAAAGGCTACTCCTATGATATTAAAACACAACTGAAAAAACGAAGGGAGGAAGAAAAGGTGCACCAATTCCTAATGGGGCGTGATGACTCATTATATGGTATAGTGCACTCAGATTTACTTGCTGGTTACCTTTGTTGAATTGCGTCTATGTGACTCTAGTGCAAGAAGAACAGTTGAAGATAATTACTAGAGCCAAGGAAGAACATGGAGTGGTTAGGGGTCTGAACTGAACTGAACTGACTTGTACTATAAAAGACTAAACTGTTTGTAAAAAAACTGACCTGAACCATTTAAAAAAAATTGAACTGAACTGTACTGTTGAAAAGTTGAACTATACTAAACTATAAAAGCTGAACTAAATTATAAAAATTGAACTATTTTTATAAAAGGATAAAAATTAAATGTGTCTAACATGTTTTGTCTTAATGAATTAGCTCGATAGTCTGATGACCAAAACTTTGCGAAAAAAAAGTGATTCAAAAAATATTGTATCAATTTTGTCAAACCTAATGGATCAATTGAGCTATGTTGGACGACTTATTTTTAGGCTTAAAATTCACTGAGTTTGTTTGACTTAATTTTATATTTTTTTCCTTTCAAAAATTTAAATAAAATGAAAAATAAAGTAAAGTTGGCAAATGTGTCATATCTTGATAGACCAATGAGTCAAAATTGTTCAATTCAAAATATCATAACAGTTCAATGCAGTTTAAATTGCAGTTCAGTTCAAGTTTTTATAGTACAGTTCAGTTTAGTTCAATGACACAAACAAATAGTTCAGTTCGTCTGAACTAATATTCACTTTAGTTCAGTTCATAAGAACTACTTTTAAGTTCAGTATAATTTTTATAAGTTCAGTTCATTTTGCTCACCCCTAGGAGTGGTCATGGGGTTGGCAGTACAAGCTGGTGTAGGGAAAAAAGGATGGGTTGATACAAAGGACAAATGAGCAGTATATAAAAATTGTAATCAAACAGGTCATGAAGTCGACTCTTGTTTCAAGCTGATAGGATATCCAAAATGGTGGGGAGATAGGCCATGAAATGTAGGAAACACCACTGCTTATGGAAAATGAGTTATAGGTCATGGGAGAGGCATGAATATTCGTGCTAATGTTTCCTAAACTACAAATGCAGGAACAAGCACTCGAATAACAGATGCAGACAAAGGTGTTTTGATGGGTTTGAGCAATGAATAGTGGCAGATGCTAACGGACATTCTAAATAGTCACAAGGGAAACACCAATGAAAGAATGACAGGTAAAGAAGCAACATGGATTATTGACACAAGAGCTTCCAATCATATGACAAGGAACTTGAGATCTTTGCATGAAATAAAAACTTTGCAAGGATGCCTTGTGGGATTACCCAATGGACAACAAGTAATTGAACTTGAAAATGTTTTATATGTGCCTAAATTAAATTGCTATCTAATATTTGTGTCTCAATTGATAGATGCAACCAATTGTATAGTGCAGTTCACTAATTCTCTGTATGTTATGTAGGACCGCACTTCGAGGATGTTCATTAGTGTAGGTGAACGAAGAGATGGGCTTTACTATTTTAGAGGGATTCGTCATGAAAAGATTTTCAGTGAATGGAGTGTGTTCATTTGATCTTTGGCATAGACGCATGGAGCACCACTCAATGGAAAAATTACACAACTGGTTTCTAATGTTAGTGGAAAATATAGTGAATTAGCTAATAAAGCATTTGATGTGTGTCATCATGCAAAACAAACTAGAGATAATTTTCCTTTGAGTAATCATAAAGCTACTGCATCTTTTGAATTGATTCATTGTGATTTATGGGGTCCTTATCGAAATCCATCTTCTTGTGGTGCTCATTATTTTCTAATTATAGTAGACAATTTTTCTCGTGCAACTTGGATTTATTTGTTACTTGATAAAAAGGAAGTTTCACAATTTTTGCTAAACTTCATGGCCTTGGTGGAAAGGCAACTTGGGAAGTAAGTAAAAATAATGCGGAGTGATAACGGAACAAAATTTATATTCCTAAAGAATATTTTTCTTAATTGTGGGATTGTTTTTCAGACTTCATGTACAAGAACACCCCAACAAAATGGTCGAGTCGAAAGAAAATACTGACATATCCTCAATGTTGCACGTGCCTTGCGATTTCAAGGAGGCCTTCCCATCTCTTTCTGGGGAGAATGTGTATTGACAATTGGATATTTGATAAATAGGATGCCAACATCTTTGTTGAATGGAAAGTCACTATATGAAATGCTCCACGAAAAACCTCCTTCCTATGACCACCTTAGGATATTCGGTTCTCTATGTTATGCACATAACCAAGGACCTAAGGTAGACAAATTTACAAGTAGAAGTAGAAGATGTGTTTTTGTGGGATTCCTCATGGAAAGAAGGGATGGAAGTCGTATGACTTGGAGAACAAAACATATTTCATATCGCGTGATGTTGATTTCTACGAGACTGAGTTTCCATATGCCTAATTTAATTAGTGCTAAACCTGGTAGTGATAATGACAACAATTTTGATGATCACGATGATCAACCTAAATCTCACAATGTTGACCTAATTGCTGAAGACAGGGGGTGTCGTTATAGATAAACACGGCAATGATGAAGCAACAATGATATAGCTTGGACGAGGGCAGCGACTATGTAACTAATACAGTCTAAGCGTTACCCCAGTCTCTTGCTCACCATCGCATAGCATACTCCAGGTGCACCTTATCCTATAACACATTATGTGAATTGCAATAGTTTTTCTAATCAACATCGTAGGTTCGTTGCTTCTGTCACCATTGATAGAGAACCCACCACTTTCCTAGAGGCAGTGAAGGATGTGCGATGGCGTTCCTCCATGCAACATGAGATCCAAGCACTTGAAGATAATAATACATGGAACCTATGCCACTTACCCCCACTAAAAAGGCTTTGGAATGTAAGTGGGTTTACAAGATCAAGCACCACTTTGATGGCACCATAGAACGATTCAAGGCTCGCCTTGTTATTCTTGGAAATCATTAAGTTGAAAGCATTGACTATAAAGAAACATTTGCCCTGGTGGAAAAAATGGTCACTATTCGTATTGTTCTAGCAATGGCTGCAACAAAAGGATGGGAACTCCATCAAATGGATGTACACAATGCTTTTCTCCATGGAGATTTGCAGGAAGAAGTTTTCATGAAGCCGCCATC